CCTAATTTGGATTTAAGATGACTAAGTTATGACCGTTTCAATTTCAAGTAACAAAACAAGCAACACAATACGTTGAGCTCAATTGCTACTGTGAGCGCGACCACACCGAATGATAATTCAGTTGACTAGACCAAGTCAACGGTCCCAAAGCGCAGACGCACAGAACTCCATGCGCCGCGGTGCACCAGATCTCTTTTCTGTTGACAAGACTACACCAAGGGCATAGATCAGTGGTGCATTGAATCCCATGGACGTCCACCACATCGAATCAATCCAATTATATTAAACTAATCCTATGGTCTACATCAGCGCACTCACCCTTGTACCATAAGTCGCGCCTCACTGGATTACAGCCCCCTCTTTCATGCGCCGTAACCCAGATTACATAAACAGTATATATATTTATTTATTTATACACAATTTTCCAAATAAATAATAGGAAAGGAAATCTAATAAATTCCAGAAAAATATATAAAAATACCAAAAAATTTCAGAAAAATACCAAAAATTCCAGAAACCATCTTTACCCTCTTGAATTATAGATCAACCTATAAATTGATTTTAAAATATATATATACAACATCTATATATACAATTAAAATCTAATAATTCAAAACTAAAAATAAATCATAATTCATACTTTTAAATAATCTGATCTAAACATAATTTAATCAAATAAATTTAAGTTAATGTTTTTTTTTTTTTTAATCCATTCTAACCATGATTTAAATTAATAATTTAATTAAAATATTGATACTCAAGGTGAAATCCTTATGGGTTCTAAGAGGAAAATTAGAGAAGAACTTGCCTGAAGGTTTCGAAACGAAACCGACGCTTTAAGCTTTAATTATCTCTTCCAATTCCGACGTCCTCCTTTTCAGATCCGACCTCCTCCTTTTCAGCCCTTCTTCTTCCTCTCTCTCTGTCTGTTTTATTTTTCTAACGTGTAAAACCTTTAACCCTAAAGCCTTATGTGTATTTTTATACACCTTAAATTCCAAATCCTATTCCAACTAGTATTATGAATTAAAATAATAATCTTTAAATAATTTATATCTATAAACATATATATATATATAAATATATATTCCTTCCATAATTAACTCATTAGTTAATTAAATCATATATACTTATAAATATCAATAAATATATATCTATATATATATCTTTCCATAACAATTATTAATTAATTATATTTATATATAATTATATATATATATATATATATATATATATATATATATATATAATTGATACAAAAGTGATCATTTAAATAATTAAATAACCACGGACCTTCATTAATTAACCTAATAAGGTTTCATACAAGCCCAAGACCACATCTTTTGGTCCAACTTTCCTTAAGCCCAATCCAATTAATTTAAATAAATAAGATAATTAATTAAATACAGAAATTAAAATAACTAATTAAATGAAGCACATAAACAAACAAGAATTTACAACTAAGTCATATAATACCAATAAAATCAACACACCAATAATTCAATCAATAATCAACCACACAAACAATCAATCATCATCATAATCACGAAATATAACTTACTTAAAATAAGATAATTAATCTAGCACTCAATAAAATAAAATAAATCATTGAAAAATAAAATAAAATAATTAATCCTAATTAATAAATCTTTTAAAATTATCGGGGTATTACATTCTTCCCCCCTAACAAACGGAATTCCGTCCTCGGAATTCACAAATCCATGAAATAAAAACTTTGATTATTTAATTTCAAATTTCATTATTCCTTTTATCCGTGTGGAAATTAACCCATCCACACATATTCATTATTAGCAGACACATCACGTAATTAGCTAATTCCATATTTATATAATTGATAAATATAAGTACACACTAGAGACTCTCACTGGACTAAAGCAGTTTCAACCGGATAGTGGGTATCTCATGTAAAATGCACACAAAGGTGGTTATGAGTCCTCCTTCTACCAGAGCCCACACATCCTTAAACCCAGCTACCCATCTCAATCGGCAATATACGCCTCCATCCTAACCACTGATCCTGAGACTCAAGCTTATATCATGGCCCATATATGTGTGTGTGTATGTATATATATATATATATATATATATATAATCCATTATATCCACATAAAAGTAAACTATCCAACCATATTTATTCAATGGCATACCATCCAACTATTCCGTTGACCTGACACGAATAAGTAGGACTTAACGCTATGGTTAATCCGTTCCCTTATAAATATATAGGTAGGACTTAACTTCTTTGGTTAATCCGTCCCTGAAATGCCACCGTCCCATACCGGTGTATTAAACCATACAATTCATAAATAAATAGGTAGGACTTAACTATTCCGTTAATCCGTCCCTAAAATACCTCCATATTATTTTATTGGTGCATAAATCCATAAAACCCATACTTCAAAATTAGGGGAAGACTCAACGATTTAACAATACCTTCTAAATCGGTGTCTTACCATTTTCCTGATAAGACTCAATGATTTACCATTAGGACACACTAACGGACCGAATATAGAATACAATGAATCCTAAACTTAAGCTCTAAGTAAAAGAGTACACAACGCGGAAGTCACACAACGAAAGACACCCTAGGGACACTTGAACCTGGAGTGCTCTGATACCAACTGTAATACCCCCTAATTTTGGAACACGGGTTGATCAAGTCCGCGCACAAAATCAGGGGATATCAAAACAATTAAAGTATTTCAAACAAGCACAGAGTACAAAAAGAAAATAAAAAGAATACATAACTCGCTGAAGGAAAATCTATTAAATAATAAATCCATTAATAATTCTCCAATGGTTACAGCTCGGGAATCCTGTAATTCAAGGACCCCTTAACCAAAATCCACTATCCAGAAATTCATCAATACATACTGAAGTAATAATATCCTACTTTGAAATAAAATAGAAAGAATGGCTAAGTCCTCCAGTTGCGGATCCTCAACCTTGAGACTTGGAACTTCTAATAACCTGAAAAATAAATCGTGGGTTAAACCCTACGAGCAAGTTCACTCTACCAGGCCTCTGAAAACCAATAAGCAGATCATCTCTGATCAAAACCAAACCTAATAAAGTTTTAACTTTAATAAAGCACGATATACATAGCTACATATAATTATATATACTATACTAATCACATCCATTAATAGGTTTATTAAATTTTCATACCTATTAAATAATTATTAGAATAATAATCATTCCTAAACTAATCTACCATTTATTTTAAAAAGAAAACTCCTTGAAGCTTAACTCCATCCTAGTCAATTGTTTAATCATTTAAACAATAAATTATAATAAAAGGAATATTATATTTAATCCCAAAATCCGATAATGATTTTAATTATTTAAATCACATATGCAAAATCTAAGCTTTGACAAATCATCCATGTCTCCACCAGTATTATTTTATTAATATGCATAAGATAATACACTAACCTGTAAGTACTAGATTATTCTAATTTAAGAATATCTAATCCTAATCCAACCTATACAGACAATAACTATAGATGATATTTTAATCATCTAACACACAACAATATAATTACACTTTGGCAAATCAACCATGCCATTATAAATATATTTATTTATATATTGACAACTCAACCATGCCTCCTTATGTATATATATTTATACTTTTAATTAACAACTCATCCATGTTTCCAATGTATGTGTTTTATTCATACGAAATATAACTTAATTAAAATAAGATAATTAATCTAGCACTCAATAAAATAAAATAAATCATTGAAAAATAAAATAAAATAATTAATCCTAATTAATAAATCTTTTAAAATTATCGGGGTATTACATTATTGTGATGACCTTATGGGCGGGTGTGCCGTGGGCGGGTGCGAGAGACACTGTCAGGCTACCACACTGGTGAGCTATAGGTGCACAGTCCCACATCGCCTGGGTAGAGGAAAGGTGAAGTGCTTATATGTAAGTGTGTCACCTCCAATTGGTATGAGACCTTTTGGGGTGAAACCCAAGAGCAAAATCGTGCGGGCTCAAGCCCAAAGCGGACAATATCATACCATGTGGTGGAGTGGGTCGTTACAATATATGAAACCACTTCCGGTTAACTGTCACACAAACACATTTTCACCTCATGAGGTGGAGAACTGACGACTTGATAAAACATTTCCTTTCGATCTAATTATGTCTCTCTTATTCATCTCAATTACTAGATTTTTTGGACAAACATGCTTTTCCCTCAATTCAAACTAATTCAGCTTAAACAATAAAGGGGGTGAAGTAGGAACTTAGTTATGAGAGAAAAACTGATTTTAGGTGAAGTTTAGCAGTATCATTGTTCTTGAGCCACATGTGAAGTGTGTCATTTTAATCCTTTTGGTAGATATAAGTATGGATGGACACTACTCGCATTAATGCACCGTAAAACTACGTTGTTTCAGACGTGTCTAACATCTACAGATCAAAATGTTAGAGCTATGTCCCTAATGTGGTTCAAAGTCACAAGTCCTGTCTCATCCTCCGTTTTTTTATTTTATTTTATTTTATTTTTTTTGAAACGATTAGCCACGGCAGTCCCTTCAGTTGATATGGTTCTCACCAGTTCATGTTAGAACTTTAGGCAAACACTCTTAGGTTGAACTTAACTGCTCAGAAACTCAGGCAATGGTTCCAAATAGCTAATTTAATTATCTTATATATAGTATTTGAAGCTTGAAGTAGCACATAGTTAATAGTATTGAGAAGTGAAATTTATCTGATAATAAGATACAAACTAAACTTTATCAATTACAGATAATGCATCATCTAACATTACATAGAAATTTAGGGAAAAGCAAAGCAACCATCAAAAGCAAACACACTAGCACCCACTTATAGGCTTTCTATCTTCTACATGTGTAGTTTGAGAAAAGCCAATATGGCCTTTTGCCATTTCGGCAAAGCTTCATCACTAACTCCATAATTCGACAAGAGAATCTTAATAGGAAGTTCCATTTTCTAGCTCCTTACACCGCCCTCACAGCTTGGAACCTTGGCTCTTTAGGGAGGAACTTCTGCTCTGCATAAACTGACATATAGTCGGCAAAGACATACTTCGGGTAAGCTTGATCCACCTCTTCATTCACTTTTTCGATGAGTTCTGGTGCAGGAGCTATAGTGGCTTTGTATGATGGATTATAGAAGGAAGCAATCGATCTCCTATTGCCATCTGGGGTGGCCAGAACACGGTGCCAAACACTCTTGTATCGCCCATTGCTCAAAACCTCGATCTGGTCACCGGTGTTGATGACAATAGCATTGGGCACGGGCTGGACATCAATCCATTCCCCGTCTTTGATAATTTGAAGGCCTTTCACCTGGTCATCTTGGAAGAGCAAGATGACACCACCAGCGTCAGTGTGAGCTCGGAGTGCGTTCACCATCTCAGGGTGAGGGCATGGTGGGTAATGGCTCACCTTAGTGCCAAAGAAGGCACTGTCTTCTTCTTCACCATTGAAAGCTTTTTTTGTGTATCCTTTTGGTAAGCCCAAGTTTTCATCCATCACGTCCATCAGCTTCTCTGCCAGTTTCTTCAGTTCAGCTCGGTATTCTGCCATGGTTTCCCTATTTTGGTAAAAAAAATTCACAAGTCAGACATTCATGTTTGGATGCACATTCTCCCTTTACATAATCTACTACCTTTTTAGATAATGCCAGAAGACATTGAGTGGAAGTTCTGAAAGTTTCCTGTTGGAAATTGAAGTTTTCTATTGACAATTGTTTTCAGTTCACAAATTTTGAACTGGCAAAGATTTGGGAAATTGGCCACTGTGATGTTTGAGAATTAGTTTGGACCTGAAATATATATACACACACAAATTCATATGGATGTGTATATATATGTTCTGAAACATTTTTCTTATAGAAAGATCAACTTTTGTTTTTGTTTTGACGAGGACAATTTTCACAAAATACTACATTCTGTGAAAAGGACTTATACTCATTCATGCTTTGTCTGGTTGCTGATAGGACCAAGTGAAACTTATATTACTTTGAAGTCTTGATCTATTTTCTTGGCAACCAAACAAGAGCATTCCTGAGAAACTGGGAGACAAATCACCATGATATACACGAAAAGTTCAGATTACACCGACATTGATGGTTATTTTCTTAGTACTACAAGATACTTACTTGAATCCAGGAGTCTTGGATGGCCACTCGTTATCATCTGACAGAAGGAAGACATCCTCCCAGTCCACATTCTCCAACTTGTCATCGCTCTTCTTCTCCACTAAATCGTTCAACAAGTTCACTGGTCTCGAGCTCTTGAAAGCTTCTTCTCTTTCCAGCTTATAGTACTCGGAACACACCTTCTTCACCCTCTCGAGGAGCTCCACCGGAATCCCATGGTTCACCAACTGCAGCATGTCAAGTTAAATGTAGAATTACTTAAAATGCTTTCCAGTTCTATCATAAGAATCAGTTTGTGAATATATTTGCATCTATTTTTGCTCAAATAGGCAACTTTTTTATGTCTGGACATTTTCTGTATCTGTCTGTTGTTTCAATATGATTAGAACTTGACTTAGAAATGTGTGTGTGTGTGATTTGAGCTCGAGTAGATGCATTTGAGGTATGAGTCTATGACCTCCATTTCAAAATGGTGATGATTAAATCATTGTGTGTGTGTGTGTGTGTGTGTGAATGATATGTACCTGGAAGAATCCCCATTTTTCGCAGCCATTAGCGATCTGAGCCATTGCCTTGGCTCTCTCCTCTCCATTGAGCATTGAGAAATCAATCACAGGGATCGCCATTGAAGTGAACAAGCAAGTACAGGAGAGAGGGAGAGTATAGTATTTTTTGGCTGGTCACTAGTGTTTGGGGTGGTGAAGAGCATGCATAAATCTAAACTATTTATAGGCATATTTCTTCCCGCCATACATAACTTAATGTTGTGGTTTCCAAATTTAATATAAAGTAGCCGTTAGTGTAAGGTGATGGACGGTGACATTGATTAACTAACAATTAAAAGGTCAAATGTTTTGTGAGGTATTGGCAACCCACAACGGAAGCGTACTTTCTTCTTCGGGTAATGATTCATCCTATTGTCAATTCACTATAGTATGTTAAATCCCATCTGGGTATCTGCCACGTGGCACCCCTACAATGATGGGCCCACCTATATGATGTGTGAATTTCATCCATTGGATTTGAGCCCCTTGATTTACTCATTATCTCACAAATGGACCTTCTATGCTTGGTCCGCATACAATATTGAGATGAATAATCAATACAAAATTAAATAATACCACCTTTTATTTTATTTCCCTGTAAACAACTCAATTACTTAAACCTGTTTGGTATGTATTTTGTTTTTGATATTTTATTTTAATCCAAAACAAAACAAGTATTTTGTTTCTAGGGTGTTTTGAATAGTAATTGGAAGCATATTTGGTAACGTTCATTTGTTGTAAAATTTTCGGAAGCAAAAATATGAAAACATATTTGGTAAAAAAGTGTTGCCAACTTAAAAAATATAATGGTTAGTTTAAAAATATAATTTAAGAGTTTTTAAATTACTGTTCATTACCAAGCATCGTTACAATACCAATTACAATTCCAAGCATTACAATGTATAAACATATAAAAATATTAAATTGATATTTTAATTTTTTGCTACTATTCACGAAACATTTTGACATGCATTTTTCTTTCACTGTTCATACCACTTAGGATTGACACGATAAATGAATCCTCCTAGGTTTCTATTCTTTGCTATCTCTATCTGTCTCTCATTTTAAACCTATATTGATAATCTTCCCTTTTTGTTATATATATATATATCTATTGCTTAAAATATAAATCGCTGCCGACAATCACCGTTGTTCATGTTGACCACCCGCTTTGACTTTTTACACATGACATGCTTTTGGATGACAACATTGACAAGGGATCAGATGATTAAAGTAATTAATGCATACAAATATTGTAAGCATGGTTTGAGGGTTAAGGAAGGAAAGTAGAGGACTCTCTTAAATAAAGTTATCATCAAACCCTAGTTTAATATATACATTGTCAACTCCAATATAATAATATGTATTGCTAGAGAATGATCTGTAATTCAACCAGCTTTGTTGTGTTACACTTAGCATATAATTGGCCTTTGATTTGATTCTGATTGTCATATTATTAGGGTACAATTTCAATGAGGACAGGTAATATTGACCGTCTGATCAAGAACATATATATTAGATGATTGAATGAATCATTACTGGTACTTGTTGTACAGTACTTGTCTAAAAGTGTCACAGCTTGTACAGTTAAGAACTTGATACATATATATGTGATGAGCTTTAATACAGATCATGTCATACGTTTTACGTGGGATGTCTTACTCCACGTTGCATGGTTTAGATTATTAGGGTTTGGGCTAATCAAGCTAAAATAGCATTTAACAATTATGGGATAGCATTTAGCAATTTTGATGAGCTTGAATACGGATCTTTTCTGTACTTCTCTATGAATTATGTGAAAGCATTTAACAATTCTTATTATATATATATATATATATATATATATATATATATTTCCTGGCCAATCAGAATTAGTAAATTCATTTTCTATGAATTATTGGGGCTCATATGGGACCTTCATGGCTTACTAGTATTAGAGATTTTCACCATTATAATTAATGTTGACATTTCACCAATTTAAATAGTAAAATTCACCATTTAAAATGGTTATAAGTTCAAAGTACAAAATGACGTCGTCCTTGTGTGAAAAGGATTTTGTTCCTACTAGTATCTTCTCTCCTAAGCAAACAAGCCCATCACAACCTTTTAAATGTGTGTTGATACCCAAGCCATTTTCACCCTTGGTTGAGGCTAAATTTTAGATCACACATGTTCATCTTCAAGCACATGCGTCGGGTTAATTTAAAGAATTTTTATGAGAGTTGTTCTTGGGAGAGAGGTCAATCTAGTAAAGCTTCATTAGGCGTGATTTTCGATCACTCATTTTTATTCCTTTTTATAATTATTAGAATAAGAACCATCAAATTAATTGAAAGAGGAAGGATAAGAAGTTCGATTAGACAAATTCAACTAATTTTATATAATTAGGATCTGATGTCATCATGATATTAGCACGTCATTATCTTGGTGTGTACATGTGATAGCATTTTATAATTCTTATTTTATATATATATACATACACATATATATATTTCCTTTACTCATTGGCCAATCAGAATTATTAAATTCATTTACTATGAAGAATTATTGGGACTCCATATGGGACTTTCATGGCTTACTAGTATTAGAGATTTTCACCATTATAATGTTGACATTTCACTGGAGAGGATTTTGTTCCTACTAATAACGTCTCTCCTAAGCAAATAACCCCACCACAACCTTTCAAATGTGTGTTGACTCCAATGCCATTTTCACCCTTGGTTGAGGCTAAATTTTAGATCACATATGTTTATCTTCACGCACATGCGGCGGGTTAATTTAAAGAATTTTATGAGAGTTGTTCTTGGGAGGGAGGTCAATCGAGTAAAGCTTCATTTGGCGTGACTTTCGATCACTCATTTTATTCCTTATTATTACATTTAGAATAAGAACCATCAAACTGAAAGAGGAAGGATGATATAAGAAGTTTGATTAGATAAATTCAGCTAATTTTATTTAAATATAATCTGATGTTATCATGATATTATGAGGACGTCAATTTTTATTAGACTCTCAATCATTTTTAAAAGTGACATTAACAAAATGTTATAAAGAAAAAAAAAATCAAATAAAAGACTCATGGTCCAAATTAAAATTTGGAACCAATATATATTTAGGGTTAAGTGCAAAAAACCCCCCTGATATATAAATTTTGTGCCAAACTAGTCCCTACTTTTTGAAAATGTGCATGCAAGTCCACAAAATTCAAAAAAGGTGCATAACCAGTCCCTCTGACAACTTTTTGCAAAAAGTAAAATTAAAAACCCCATTTTACTCTTTTGTTTCCCATTTTGCCCCTCACCCATATGTGCATATAACCTCTCAGAGATGTGACCGGATTTTCGCCGGAATCAGATTTTCGCCGGAGAAGACGCGTGAGACCCGTGACAGCACGTGAAATCTACTTGCAAAACTTCAGGTGGCGCATGTAACATCGTCCGTGGCTTTTATTTGCAGCATTGTGTTCTTCTTGGTCTTGTGGACCTTATTCGGCAATCAAAATGTGATTTTGATCACGTTTATTTTCTGCGTTGTTGGCTCTCTGATCTCTGATCTCTATAATTTTCCTACTCTTTCTGGCTCTCTTAACAATCACCGCAATTTTCTCTCTCTTCAGCACCTCCGCGGCGGCCGATGGCGGCGATGGCGAAACGGCCATGGAAATATGGGGTGACCGAGCCCTAGGAATTGACTTTCTTGTCAAATCCCCTCTCGTCTGTAGCCCCTCAGGTTAAGGTAGTGGTAGTACCAAGCCTCTTTGCAAGAACCGAAGGAAGAAGAAAGAATTGAACAAGAATAGAGAGCAACATAATGGAATGTGTAGAGAGAGAAGTGCTGCTGCGCGGGTTGCGTGTGCGCAGAAAAAGATGAAGAGAGAGAAAGCATGAAAGTACGGAGAGACCCAACCATCCAAAACAGCTCTGTGAAGAAGAAGAAGATGATGATTGATCTGGGTCTGTGCTTTCAGTAGTGTTCGACAGAAGAGAGAGAAGGGTGTGGACAGACAAAATTTTGTTTAGTGCCTGTATTCGTAAATTAGGTTATATCATGTGTATTGCATACTATATATATATATATATATATATATATATATATATATATATAAAGAAAATGGAGTCAGTGGACAATTCACAAAGCAGATCTTGCTTTCTGGGCAGCTCGTTTCATACATCCAGGTCAATCTCCAAGCAATTCACAAAGCAATTCGTTTCAATCTCCAAGTCAGTGTGATTGTTGCAATAACAAATATATATATCAAACCAAAAACCTATCTCCAACCTTCACTTCTGATGCGTTTCAAACCCAATTTGGAATCAATCTTACCAAACAAAATGAATGAACAAGGTCAACCCACTAAAAAAAAAAAAAAAGAGAAGAATAAAGGACCTAAAATGGTAATTTACATTGTCTATTTTTTTTTAATAATATTTCATTTATATTAGAGAGGGTATTATCGTCATTTTACACGACCAGGAACCCAATCGCACCAAATTGATAGTATAGGGGGGTTTTTTACTACACAAGGACTGATATTCACTATATCTATAGTAGAGGGGGGTTTTTTGCACTTAACCCATATATTTACATGAGAGATATGGATTTAATTTAGCAAGAGACAAGTAGAGCAAATTAACTAGCAGAGAGTTTAATTCAACTGAGTTAAATCTAATCATTATTGAGTCTACTAACTGAATCTGAAACAAGTTCTTTAATAGTATTCAAGTTAATTAGACTAAGACAAGCTATCCAACTTAATTATAATTAATATGTTTTTGTTGAACAGAACATGGGTTGGAAGGTCAAAAGTCAACTCAAATTGTAATACTATTAAAAAAAACTTTTCATGACCCCAAGAATAGTACTCATGAACATGCTTTCACATTAAAACTTTCATATAGAAAATTAATTTATGCATAGCTTGGTTAATATAAATAGATTCTTTATTTTTGTTTTCACAATTTCTAAAGTTGCTAGAATTTATAAATTGTTGCATAAAACATGCATTTAGCTACATTTAACAAGCATTGATTCTAGGTAATGTAGTTTAATGATACTTCATAACCTTCCAAACAAGGAAAAAA